ACGAGAAGGAAGAAGAGGCCAGCCGACAACGGGCGCTCAAACGAAACCCCAAGCCACCAACCAATGGGGCGGGAGGGGGTCAGGAGACGGACGAGAANTCGGCCTGGTCCCTTTTTGTCCTCGCTCTTTTTCAGTTCATTTTCTCTTTCCTTACTGTTTCCTTTTATTTTCTTCTCTTTATCTCTTTTTCTCTTTTTCTCTCTTTTTCTGTGCCAGATGGCCTTGTTTCTGCTTGCGTTGTGAAGTACCAAGATTGAACCAAGGGGGTATACCTCATTCTCTCCGGCCCGTGATGGTGACCCCTAGTCTCAGTTGTTACCTCGCATAGCGCGCAGAGGGAGTGGAGGACTCCAGAATATCTGTCGTTGATTTCTATTGACTTGCGGACCCCTCGGGGCCATTTTATTGGAGTGTACCTTTTTAGGGTAAGTTAGCCTGCGACCACGGGAATCGACCGCGTCGAGTGTTGTATCAGTACGGACATAAGAAGGTACTGGGGAGAGCGAGATCGGAACGGTTTTTAATGTGAAGACAACAACAACAACAACAATCCTCACTCAGCGCGTCTATGTGTCCGGCACTCCAACATCACTTATCACGTGGGATTTCAGTATGCAGCTATCCCCACTCAACCCGTCCATGTGTCTGGCAATCTCAAACCTCACTCAACCCTTGAGGTTTCAGTATACAGCTATAATCACTCAACACGTCTATGTGTCTGGCAATCTCCTACATCATTCAACCTGTAAGGTTTCCGTAAACAGCTATCCTCTCTCCACTCGTCCATGCGTCACGCGTCTTTGGTAGCGCGTACTATGGGGGCTATGTTTGGGGTGGCGTGTTTTACAGCGCTTTGCCAACAGCGCCAACCCACTTAAGTCTTGAACGGGGGGGACGCGGGGGGTCGCATTTCATTATTATGACCGGTCCAGATGCGGAAAACCGGAGCATCACCCGTTGCACACTCTCTAGGCTCTGTTGAGCAGATAAGACCGCGAAGGAGTAGAGCGTGGGATGGTCGAGGATGTGGCGGAATAGCTTCGACGGAGCAGGTCGGGTTGGGCGTTCGGAGAGTCCATAGCAGCCAGGAGTTTTTCGTACCTCGCCTTGTTGCGTGGATATAAGTTTAGCATGAGGGAGAGAAGAAATAAAGAACGGAATGTGAAGCACAAGACGCTTTCAAATTAGAAAGAGGGCGCGTAATAATACATAAAAATGAGTTGTAAATCTCAGTCGAATTTTTTTTTGGCAAGAACCGAGGAAATTTCCAGGGATGTTCAGGGTGCGGTTTTTCTCGACGGTGCGGTGCGGTGGTGCGGCTTAACCGCACCGCACCGCACCGCCACATTTCTAGATGAAAAAAAAACGCACCGCACCGCACGCTAAGGATTCACAAACAACCGTAGTTGCGGTATTATCACGGTACGGTTTTTCCTACCCCGTATTCAAAACCGCAGTAAACCGCGGTACAAACCGCAGCTGATGCACGTTTTTGTCGTGCAGACACACACCAGGAACATTGAACACTGTTCTTTGAAACCAGCACACAAGCAACACCGTGTCCCCACACCACACGCACACCGCCATGTAGTTGTAGCCAGTGGCGAGCATGAGCCGCCTGGTGGTGCTGCCAGATGCTTTTCTATTGTTTTTCTGGCATATTCCAACAGCAAGTGCTTTTCTAGTGTTTTTCTGGCATATTCCAACAGCAAGTAGAAGCTACTGTTGATGTGTGTTGTAGGAACGTATGGTGACTGGAAAAATGAAAAATGAAATACTTCAGTATATGATCAAAGTAGCTTCTCCGTTGTCTGAGGTTTTCGGGTGTTCTGACCGCAAGCCGCGGGATTTGTCGTGGCGGCCTGCTCATTTTGATGGACCAAATCTAACGTATTCCACGAAAAAATAAAATCGCGGAGACTCTGTCATTTTGTCACGGACAAACGTAGGATTGTCCGTGGTGTTCTTCAACGGTGCGCCCGAACAGTAGTAACATCATCAGCCATAGCTCGGAGACGTCGAAGTGGAGTGTAGATGTCGTTGAAAAATGGTGGTAGGCGAGTGCAGAGCTCTGTAGTTTGCATGTGTTGCAGCAGTGGACACACAAAATAGTCGGGCCGACTTTGAACGTTACAACGAGGTATTTGTTAACATCCACGAAGGCAGTCTGCATATCGTGCTCTTGATTGTTGATTCATTGGACGAGGACACGCTTGTGATGCTGTTGCGGGTGACCTACATATACCTGGGAGTCCAATTTGATGTCTGCTACAAACATTCGAAAGCCTGCTGCAAACGTTATACTGTAGCGTGGACTGTGTGCGTGGCACCGCAAGTTTGAAACCTGTGTTGTTCGTTGTCATACAGTAATATACAGCAGAAGTGTCCCTGGATGCATGTTGCTTGGTACAGCAGCCGCAGGGCACGTACATGCTGGGTTGCTGTGCTCGTCGAGAGTCACCATCACCGGCAACGACAAACAGATGAGAAGTCGCAACGCTCGTTTGCTTCACAGCGGAGGGAAGCATAGGAATAGCGTCAACGCAGGACTCTCGTTTTGTACATGCATACGTAGTCTGTCTGTATTCAAAATTTGAAAAAAATCATTGAAGAAACGTGTAGAAAAAATTATTCACTATCTTCTAGATGTGCGTCTGACGATGACATTCCTACAAATGTATATACTTAACTTGATAAACTTGATCTGTTCGACCGCGGATTGCAGCTCGTCAGTAGCAGGCAAGATCGCTGTCGGTGGATACTGTTGTGAAATCCCGCACGTTCCTTCGCTCGCAATGATCCATGTCATGTTTTGCTCTACGTTTCTACATCCAGAGACAACGACACCCACGAAATCAACAATGAGGCCCTACCAATGACATGGCAGAGACAATAGTTTGGGCGCCAGGGGGATTGGGGCCGGTTGTCCCGGACGTACGCGTCCGATGCCATGGAGAGAGGGGTGGTTGTGCTGAAACGTGTTTCCCCCGGGGTCGACGCGATCTTCTTGTGGTACACAATTTCTTTGTACACTCCCGGTCTGCAAAGACACTTACTACGGAATGATATTCTACGCGTAAGGTCGTCATATTACCAGTTGTAGGAACCACATGTGCGTGAGACACCGGGATTGATGGGGGTCTCTCAGGAAGAACAAAGTGAAGAAGTGGGATCGGGCTATGGTGTTACCAGTCAAATCTGCGTAGTTTCGTCGCAAAAGCGTACTCCAAGCTTGTGTCTTCACCCCTGTGGTAGAGCACCCGTTCTCACCAGATTTTAACCAAACGCATGACCCGGGCTGTTAGACGAGTTGGATGATCTGGGTGGAAGGTTGCCGTAAACCTTTTCAATTGGACCCTTTGGTCGGTCCAATTGCTCACTATCGCACTACCCACAACCTGATGGCGTTGTACTCTGAACACTTCTTCGTGGTGGCCCCCCCCATGAGACAGACAACACAAGTGACAACTGCTGTTGCAAACACGACCAAATCAAACACACTTTTCAGGCCGAGAAATGCCCGGCGGCTACGGCTACTCGTCAAGTTCCGGTGGAGCTAGTCCTGGCGGGTATCAAAGATCTTTTTCGGACGGGTTCGACGAGGTGAAGTCCACCTGTTGAGCAGTGTCTCCTCTCGCTGTCGGTTGCCTCCGAGGCTCGATCCTCTTGTGTCGCTTGATTACGTTGTGTTGCCCTTCACCCGGCTTGTTTTTATGGTATGCATCTATATCTGTATCGCAGAAGGGTGATGACAGTCATATGATAGCAATCATGCCTTGAGGGGCCGATATTGTGTTGCTGGTTTAGTGCATTTAGCGATTTTTTGTTGTTTTTGAAGTGCTCTCTCTCCCTTTCGGAACCAATGCTCGCCGCGCTTCGATCTTTGTGTTGCCGCAAGCAGATATGCACGCGCACTAACACTAATAATTAAGTCCTGGTCTCCGTTGGAAGCGACGCGCTGCAAAGCTCGTTGTTAGTAAAGTTGATCGACTTCATAAGTCGCGAGGGAAGGGATTGCTGTACCCTTCTCGCGATAAAAATGTCTCAGACAGGAACCGCAGGAGGGAGTCCCACCCCCCGCTCCTATGTGACCCCGGTTGGGTCGTCTAGCTGATAGAAGTAGAGGATAGGGGCCAGAGGGGCAGACGACAGAGCCCAATGATGGGAGACAACAAAAAAAAATTACCCCACACGATGTCCTCTCTGTCTATCCCACCACCACTTATACATACCTCGCCCTCCGTTTCTCGTGGTTGCGTTTGTCGTGTTTGGCTTCTGAAGGGAGTGCCGCGGTTGAACGTGGTCTTCTTGACGGGTTACCTTGGACAGGACCCAAGGCCCAAGTATTTCGACAGCGGGAGGGTCGTGCTCAACCTCAGCCTGGCGGTGAAGCGCGAGTATCACCCCCTCGAGGTACACACCCAACGGGATATTTTACCCTTGAGAAACCCCCCCGTAAGCGTTTGGATTGCCTCTCTGTGTTCGCTCGTCGCTGAACACGGGCCTCTTTTTTTCATTGCCGAGCAAGGATACGCCCCAAAAATTTTGCTCCCACGGAAAGATATGCACAGCAGTAGTTCGTCTGTGCCTGCACGGAAGGGCAACTGCTGTTCGTCGGATGTAAGAGCGTGTATCGAAACAATGGCTGCATCAAGAGTGTGCCCATGCACGTGAGCAAGAATCAATACCCCCAAATGTCGAAGGAAATGAGATCGTCAGCTGTTAAGGTTTTCAGTACTGTTCCCCGTTCTTTCGTGTGAAATGCACAGCTACGGATCCAACACGGGACGGGCATGTACAACAGCGACCGAATGTGCAATGACAACCCTGACCCAACTCCCCTCGAGGTGGCTGGACCGAGAAGGAGGCACCAGCATAGCAGTCGCAGCGTAGCTTGAATTACCTCAAGGGTAAAGCCAACCGGTCGACAGCGTTCTGAGTCGTGCCAACCCGCTCCCGTTGGGTACGTCCGGATGAAAACTTGATCGCGTGTTGCAATCATGCAGAGGAAAGCGCTGGGCATCGTGCAAGGGGAAGAGGAGACGGACTGGTTCCAGTTGGAGATGTGGAACCGCGACGCGGAGTACGCAGCCAAGGTCTGCAAGAAGGGCGGCCGGGTTGGAGTGACGGTGAGTTAGTTGAACACGAAGAGCTGCTGCAGTTAGCTCCACGCTCCTCTTTCCCATCCAGACGCGGTCGCCTCTCGCTGCACTGCACTGCACTGCACTGCATACATGCGCTACGTTGTGAAGATGATGGCCTCGGGAGTTGTCTAGCAGCAGCGGCAGCAGCAGCAGCAGCAGCAGCGGCAGCGCGTCGTTTGTTGAGCTAAACCGCACGTTCCCCCGTCACTCAGCCTTCTCAATGTCCCGGTTGCCGAGAGAAGTCAACCCGCGGCAAAGTAGTTCTGTTCACCTCCCACCCCCAATAGACGTCGTCGTTGAGAGGGATGGGTCCTCTCCTCTTGTGCGGGACGGAGATGCGGAGGTATTCGCTGTCCTGCAGTCCAAAGCGGAGAGACTGCGCGGGTGACCTGCGTCACCCGGGGATTTATCTCTCCAACATGTTGCGCCGACCAAAAGACACCGCCTATCTCTAAGCACGAGTCTCCCCGTTGAATACCTACGATGTGCACTGCATGACCAATCCTTGGTTGTTGGCAAAGGCTGCCAAGCGCAATGCATCCAGTGTTGCGCGAACATGTGATTTTCGAGCAATATGTTGCTGTTTTTGTTGCAATAGAGCGGCGAGTGTTTATTGCAGAGGTATCTCATCACCCCCTTGTAGTCCTCTTTGGTCCGCCAGCCTCTTGACTTGGCCGCGTTATTTGCTCTTGGGCGTGTTGTTGATGCTTCCTTCCCTTGTGTCATGACGACAACGCGAAAAAAATGCTCGTGCGCAGGGTGGTCTTAGCCTGCAGTCTTGGATCGACCGGGAAGGGAACGATCGGACTACCGTCAAAATATTGGTAGGTGCATCAACATCCACATGCCTACCCACCCACCCACCCACCCCTTAGCCCGAGTCGAGAGGTCACACGCTTAGCAATCATTGCGTGAAGGTCCCGATGAAGACGCGCCTATTGTCTGCTTATCTCTTTGGACAGCAGTTCTTGCTTGCTCTTTCTTGCTCTCTTTTGGTGGACTGCACAGGGAGAAAGACTCAAGACTCGCGCCTTGATACGTCTATGGGAGTAGCAGCTCCCACCGCACGGTCAATGTCTACCACCATTTGGTGTGACCTTCTGCCGCTTCTCTTTCAAGTCGGACACTTGTACTACCACCAGTACCAGCGATAGAGTAACATTGCCTGTGCACGATTACGATTTGTAGCGTGCTAAAACTGCAGTATGCAACATTGCTGTCGCATAATCCTGCAGGTATCCCGCCTTGTGGAATAAGTTAGTACAGTAGTCAGATGGAGAGTCCCATGGACATTGGTTTCTGTATGTTGTCCAGCCTCCATCGGTTGTGTTTGTTCTCTACATTCTCCCGCCCTCCCTCAGGTGCAAAACCTTGAAGTCTTGGACTCGCGTGCGGAACAAGCCATGAGGTCAGACCGGAGCGACTCCAACCTTTGGGAGTCGGAGCGGCTGGAGAAGATGGACGCTGCAGCCGCCGCGGCGGGCGGCGGGGGCGGGGGCGGGTTGGGCGGCGAGGCGTACCAGCAGCAGACCGCGGAAGATCTCGAGGCGAAGGCCAGAAAAAGAGCGGCCGAGAACAAGTGGTGGTCCGCAGAGCCCGAGCCTCGATCGGCGGCAGAGGGGGGGGGCGGGGGGGGGACTTGGGTTAGCAGCGCCGGGTCGGCGGCGAAGGGTGGGGAGTCGTCCTGGTGGGAGGAGGAGGGCACGGGAGGTGTAGGGGGTACGAAAGGGATCGATTCCGACTCGCTGCCGTCGTTTTTCGATAGTTGAGGAGGCGCTGCGCGAGATGTACTTCAGACAATGGTGTAGTGTGGGGCAGGAAGGAGCGTTGGGTATTGCCGTAGGCATTTCAGACGTGTCCACGAGGTTAGGGTGCTGAGATCAGTGTTTGGTAAATTGTGCGGAAGGCGGGCCGGGAATGGTGGAAATTGTACTTGCGTATAGTTCCCGGTGTATGCTGCTTGCTTTTGTGATCACGCGCTGTTGGCCGCAGCAGATCCAGCATTTAGTGTGTATTAAGCACAGTCTGTATCCTGTCATGTATCCTGGCGGCGGCGATAAAAATAACACAAGAAGCTGCAATGCTATGGGTGGGGGGTGACCTGAGCAAATGTGGTGGGCGGAAGTGATGGCGTGTGGCTCGGGTGGCCCTACCGTTCAGTGGCACAGAATCGAATGAAGTACCGTGATCCATCCGTGCTTCTGACCAATCGCTTGTTGGCATCCTGGCCACGCCCCCCTCCCCCAACCTCTCTCTACCGAAAAGAGACGACTGACAAAAATCGACAACCATTGCAACCATCGGATGTACACGAGGGGGTATCCAACAAAGACTCAGAGTGGTTATTTTGGTTGGATCTGGTTTGGACGGTTTATTTATGGTCAACCCCGTGTGCGAGGTGTGGGACACCTCCCTCTACGCTAATTTATTCCCATACATGCTGTAGGTTTGTTGTTGTTGTTGTTGTTTCTCACATTAGCTCTAAAAAAAAAAGAGGGTGTGAGTGAACGAGTGGACAACAAAGATGAAGACGCTGGCGTACGTGTTTGGCTGTTTTTTTCACATTGGAATGAAGTTTCGCGTCCCCACAAAACCCAGTTCTGCAACGTATCCAACCCAAAACCCGAAACATGCTNACCCAAAACATGCCCTTACAACGGACTCTGTAAGTGAGTACTGCAGAATTAGGCAAATAATTTGCCGTCGTGTAGACTACTAGACTAATAGATGGGACGCATACATGGCGACCGATGGTACGAACACAAGGGTATTTAGAAATGTTGCTACTGCTGTTCCAACAAGTACTTACACAGCAACTGCTGCTGAAGTACGAAGTGTGGTACAAAGTGATTACTTGATTTTCTGGACTACTGTCATTCGTGTGACTTTGCTTTTCCGACGGGGTGTGCACTTCTTTCTTTTTGTGTTCGTGGAACAGCAGCAGTAGTAGACTAGTGTCCAATAACCAAAAACTACATCGACAGCAAGCGGACGGCCGACGCTTGCTTTGCAGGAAACAAAAACCAAAAGCCCAACAACTACGATATGCATGTGATGATGATGCTGCTGCCCTTAAATTTTAGCTCACGACGCCATACGTCCGTCGATACTTGGTAACCACACGATGGAGTCTAAACCACCAGTTAGTGTTTCAGCACAACAACAAGGTGACGATTCTGCTATTTATTGTACACTACTTGTACATTCGGCAGTGAGAAGAATAGATTGGTCAGCCTCCGCATGTCCACAAAATCCTCGCACCTAGTNAGTGAGAAGAATAGATTGTTCAGCCTTCGCATGTTGTCCACAAAATCCTCGCTCCTACACATGTATGTAGATAGATATGTAGTCCATGCATAGGTTTAGACTACTTCTTCCATGGTGAAAGCCGGATGACACGAACAATGGTACAAAATACCCAACGGAGGCAAAGCGAGTGTGAATTTATTCTTCGATAATTGCTGTACGAACGAAACCATTCTGAAATGTTCGCACATTCACACATCAGCAGGGCTGCATCTAACGCTCATCTCACGTCCTCTCACCAGCACTCTCACCAGTACTCTCACGTACGTAACGCACACACACCTGTATCAAAACGTACTTATCGATGAATACGCATGAACGAAGGGTATTCCAATGGTTACCCCGAGACGAAACTATTCGACTTCTTGAAATTTGAACTTCAAATTTGAACCTCTGTTCTCTGTTGACCCTGTGTGATTCTTCTGTGAGTGTGGTGGTCCCCATAGCACAGTAGCACTTTTGTCTTGCTGTTCACTCCTCCTCCGCACGGAACGCGGAGTCATCCCATCACTGCACAGCGCGCAGCAAGTGGGTCAGCCCACGAGCAAGTCGAAAGTTGTGCACTGCTGTACCCAAAACGGATTTTTCGAGTTTCGGAACATTTTGTTTTTTTGCGCAGTGGCGTTGGTTCGAGTATGGCCGGTGACGCAGTGAGAAGTGTTTTCCGGCTGTTATCATAGCTGTTGACCCCCAACGGTTGTTTCGATATGAATTGGAGATGCATACGGTAGGGCTACTGCCACCCTACCCACCCAGCCACACACCCTCACTTTCCCCCTCCTCCTCCTCTCCCTGCCACCCACACAAACCCGGCGTGCCTCGACCCACACTCAACAGGCCGCAAACTGACAGCAGCACGCCGACGGTGTACACACACGACACACGCAGCGAATAAATGTCTTCGTCATCAGCAGCAGCGTCAAGGGCGGCGGCAGTGGCAGTAGCGCTGCTGAGCGTCGGCGGATTCTTGGCCCAATTGCCTGTCAGCGATGGCCACGCCTACATGATGACCCCGATCTCGCGTCAGCTGGGAGGCACCACTCCCTTCAATCAGTGAGTTTGTCGGTATCGGTTGTACACGGCTAGCCTTTTTTTTTGTCTCGCGCGAGTATCTCAAAACATGCGACGACGGCAGGATCTTGGAATTGGTGGGAGATGCTGCATCCAGCAAGCCTACTCTGTACAGGGTAGATATATCTAAAACCCAAACCGCAGGGGTGTCGTGCGACGCGGACTTGGACTAGATTCGTGAAGGCAATCTGTAAACAGATAGGACCTTCACCAGCAGCGACACCTCGTGTATGCATGCGTGCGTTGAACAGGGAAACGTATCGCGACTTGTGAAGATCAAGATCTACTCTCACGGATACAAGTTTCTGCAGGAATCCCGCACTTCCCGTCACTAGAAACTGGATACCGAAGTCTAACGGATTGACTGCCTGTGGGTGGTTGGTCTCCTCCTCTCCTCGCCCGCCTCTCCTCTCTCGGCTCTTGTGATCTTGTCCTCCCTGTCATCCTCTTTCGCCGGCCGTTGCTGGGGAAGTTGCCACATGCATCAAAGCCTCTGTACAGGGTAGGTATATATCGCATGTACGCGTGTATAGCCCCACAACCGCAGACGTGCTGTGCGCGGGGGGACTTACCGACGGTATAAGGCATTTTCCATGCAGATAGGACCTACAAGAGGCGACGCGAACAGCGACGCCACTTGTCTGCGGGATTATGCATCCGTGCCTTGAACCGGGAAAAGTATCTCGCCCTCTCAAGATCTCTCACGAATTCAATTTCTTCACGCTACACGTAGAACCTCCCGCACTCTCCAGCTGCTTTTTTCACTAAAAAGCTGGATACCGACATCTAACGGATTGGTTGGTCCTCCTCCTCTCACGGATCTCGTATCTTGTCCTGCTGTGGCTCCCTTTCGCCCGTTGCAGGGAAGGAGAGGTTCCGGTGAACTTCTGCCCGCACTGCTACCAGTCCCGTGGGCCCGCCGCGATTCGCGAGCGTTCAGGCGACAAGCCCTGGCCTCACTACAAGGGTGCACGAGCAGCCAACGGGAACTACCTCGAGAGTGACGAGGTGGCACAGAGGCACGGCATTTGCGGCGACCCCGAGCAGGTACAAAAACAGGGTGGTTTGTTTCTGTGTGGCATTTACATTTTCACAAGCTGTACTACCTGCTGTAGACTTGTGTACTGCTGTAGGGGGTGGGTGTGCGGAGGGCGCAGTATTTAGTTGAACGACTGTCGACATCGAAGAATAAGCTTGGCATTGACACTGCTTTGTACATACATGTAGTGTAGCTCTTCAATGTATCCATAGACTACAACAGTACGTATCGCTACATCATCTCCGGCTGTGCACAGACAGGCACAGTTGACCTGATAACGCGCCGGTTGATGTGAGATGCCCACTTCTTTCAAGTCTAATAAAAACCCCATTTCAGGCTCCTCCCCCCTTCGGTAGGATCGATCTGAAATTCTCGTTTGTTTGTAACATGATGTGTGCTACTGCTGTAGTGACAAAAAACGAGAGGCAAGCGAGACATGCATGCGTGCATGCAGAAGACAAGCGATTCTTGCGCACAAGCCAACATCCACCACCCGCCTCTCACAGCCCCCCACCCACCCTTGCGTGTGCTCTCATGCCAGACTGCGGCTGAGGGTGACAACAAGTACGGTCGCGAGAACTACAACTACCCCGTCCTCGGCACGTACGCCGAAGGCGGGGTCCTAGAGGTCAAGATCGTCGTGTCTACCTACCACTGGGTGCGTTGACGATCCCCGTCACGCTGTGTCCAGAACGTCAACCGAAACATGTCAAGACTGTCGTCCAAAGAAATAACAACCAGGTCCACACAGGTTTCGAGGTTACCAACTAGACCATTGCAACCATCGGATGTACACGAGGGGGTATCCAACAAAGACTCAGAGTGGTTATTTTGGTTGGGGTCTGGTTTGGACGGTTTATTTATGGTCAACCCCGTGTACGCGGTGTGGGACACCTCCCTCTACGCTAATATATTCCCATACAATGTCATGCTGTAGGTGTCAGTGAACGAGTGGACAACGAAGATAAAGACGCTGGCGAACGTGTTTGGCTGTTTTTTTGTCACATTGGAATGGAGTTTCGCGTCCCCACAAAACCCAGTTCTGCAACGTGTCCAACCCAACCCAAAACATGCCNCGTCGTGTAGACTAGACTAATAGATGGGACGCATACATGGCGACCGATGGTACGAACACAAGGGTATTTCGAAATGTTGCTACTGCTGTTCCAACAAGTACTTACACAGCAACTGCTGCTGCTGAAGAACGAAGTATGGTACAAAGTAAGTGATTGCTTGATTTTCTTTCGTGTAACTTTGCTTTTCCGACGAGGGGTGTGCACTTCATTTTGTGTTTGTGGAACAGCAGCAGTAGTAGACTAGTGTCCAAGAACCAACAACAACAACGACAGCAAGCGGACGGCCAACGCTTGCTTTGCAGGAAACAAAAACCAAAAGCCCAACAACTACGATATGCATGTGATGATGATGCTGCTGCCTTTCAATTTTAGCCCACGACGCCATACGTCCGTCGATACTTGGTAACCACACGATGGAGTCTAAACCACCAGTTAGTGTTTCAGCACAACAACAAGGTGACGATTCTGCTATTTATTGTACACTACTTGTACATTCGGCAGTGAGAAGAATAGATTGTTCAGCCTTCGCATGTTGTCCACAAAATCCTCGCTCCTACACATGTATGTAGATAGATATGTAGTCCATGCATAGGTTTAGACTACTTCTTCCATGGTGAAAGCCGGATGACACGAACAATGGTACAAAATACCCAACGGAGGCAAAGCGAGTGTGAATTTATTCTTCGATAATTGCTGTACGAACGAAACCATTCTGAAATGTTCGCACATTCACACATCAGCAGGGCTGCATCTAACGCTCATCTCACGTCCTCTCACCGGCACTCTCACCAGTACTCTCATGTACGTAACGCACACACACCTGTATTTAGGCCTGTCCTCCATCGGCCGTTTTATTTTCGATTTAGATACACAAACTTTATTCCCATACTAATTTCAAGTAATTCCACCTTCTCATTCTCCGTCATGCAAGCAAAACGGCCGATGGAGGACAGGCCTAACCTGTATCCAATAGCTAGTATCCAAACGTACTTATTTATCGATGAATACGCATGGCGAACGAAGGGTATTCCAATGGTCACCCCGAGACGAAACTATTCGACTTCTTGAAATTTGAACTTCAAATTTGAACCTCTGTTCTCTGTTGACCCTGTGTGATTCTTCTGTGAGTGTGGTGGTCCCCATAGCACAGTAGCACTTTTGTCTTGCTGTTCACTCCTCCTCCGCACGGAACGCGGAGTCATCCCATCACTGCACAGCGCGCAGCAAGTGGGTCAGCCCACGAGCAAGTCGAAAGTTGTGCACTGCTGTACCCAAAACGGATTTTTCGAGTTTCGGAACATTTTGTTTTTTTGCGCAGTGGCGTTGGTTCGAGTATGGCCGGTGACGCAGTGAGAAGTGTTTTCCGGCTGTTATCATAGCTGTTGACCCCCAACGGTTGTTTCGATATGAATTGGAGATGCATACGGTAGGGCTACTGCCACCCTACCCACCCAGCCACACACCCTCACTTTCCCCCTCCTCCTCCTCTCCCTGCCACCCACACAAACCCGGCGTGCCTCGACCCACACTCAACAGGCCGCAATCTGACAGCAGCACGCCGACGGTGTACACACACGACATACGCAGCGAATAAATGTCTTCATCAGCAGCAGCAGCGTCAAGGGCGGCGGCAGTGGCAGTAGCGCTGCTGAGCGTCGGCGGATTCTTGGCCCAATTGCCTGTCAGCGATGGCCACGCCTACATGATGACCCCGATCTCGCGTCAGCTGGGAGGCACCACTCCCTTCAATCAGTGAGTTTGTCGGTATCGGTTGTACACGGCTAGCCTTTTTTTTGTCTCGCGCGAGTATCTCAAAACATGCGACGACGGCAGGATCTTGGAATTGGTGGGAGATGCTGCATCCAGCAAGCCTACTCTGTACAGGGTAGATATATCTAAAACCCAAACCGCAGGGGTGTCGTGCGACGCGGACTTGGACTAGATTCGTGAAGGCAATCTGTAAACAGATAGGACCTTCACCAGCAGCGACACCTCGTGTATGCATGCGTGCGTTGAACAGGGAAACGTATCGCGACTTGTGAAGATCAAGATCTACTCTCATGGATACAAGTTTAATTTTCTGCAGGCATCCCGCACTTCCCGTCACTAGAAACTGGATACCGAAGTCTAACCGATTGTCTGTTGGTTGTTTGTTGTTTTTCTTCACAACAAACTCGTGTCAGTTGCTAATTCCAAAATCCACCAAAGACTCGGTCCGTGGTCACAAAAATGCTAGAGCCATCAGAAGATCTAAAGAACACACACACTACTAGCAAGAAAAGGGTACGCAAGCCGGAGGAGGTACACCTGCAATCCCTGCAGCACGTTTGCGTGCTCACAACTGAGCTACGCGCCCACACACTACAAATAGTCTAGACTACAGCAGCAGCATCACCCCCCTTTTCCCGCATTAAACCAAAATGACTGTTTGTCGACTACAACGCACTGCTGTCTGAAGTGCTGTCTGTAAAACAATAACATCATGGTGCATGGTACACAAGCTCGGGGCATGGAGCTGCTGTCTGAAGTGCTGTCAGAATGAGCCCGTGGACATACAATGAAGAAGAACGCCCAACCAAAGCCATCGTTGCAATTGACAATCGATTGCTTGTGGGTGGTTGGTTCTCCTCTCCTCGCCCGCCCCTCCTCTCGCGGATCTTGTAATCGTTTGTCCTCCCTGTCGTACTCTTTCGCCGGCCGTTGCTGGGAAGTTGCCACATGCATCAAAGCCTCTGTACAGGGTAGGTATAGACTATATCGCATGTACGCGTGTATAGCCCCGCAACCGCAGACGCGCTGTGCGCGGGGGGACTTACCGACGGTAAATTGGCTCCCTTTCGCCCGTTGCAGGGAAGGAGAGGTTCCGGTGAACTTCTGCCCGCACTGCTACCAGTCCCGTGGGCCCGCCGCGATTCGCGAGCGTTCAGGCGACAAGCCCTGGCCTCACTACAAGGGTGCACGAGCAGCCAACGGGAACTACCTCGAGAGTGACGAGGTGGCACAGAGGCACGGCATTTGCGGCGACCCCGAGCAGGTACAAAAACAGGGTGGTTTGTTTCTGTGTGGCATTTACATTTTCACAAGCTGTACTACCTGCTGTAGACTTGTGTACTGCTGTAGGGGGTGGGTGTGCAGAGGGCGCAGTATTTAGTTGAACGACTGTCGACATCGAAGAATAAGCTTAGCATTGACACTGCTTTGTACATACATATAGTAAAGCTCTTCAATGTATCCATAGACTACAACAGTACTCCTCGATCTGAAATCTTGCTTTTTTGTAACATGATGTGTGCTACTGCTGTAAATAGTGACAAAAAACGAGAGGCAAGCGAGACATGCATGCGTGCATGCAGAAGACAGAGATTCTTGCGCACAAACCAACATCCACCACCCGCCTCTCACAGCCCCCCACCCACCCTTGCGTGTGCTCTCATGCCAGACTGCGGCTGTAGTGCAGCGCGCATTTTCCCCGCGGCTCATTTACCGGAGGCTGGGCTGGCGCTGAACCCCCCAATCATACTTGCAGGTTGAACCTCAACTGTTGCACCGCATTTCGCCCCAATTGTTGGCATGTCTCTACAAAATATTTTATTCCTACCAAGTTGATGAAAACGTCAAACCAACCGGATCTTCCTAAACGCCGAACCCGACTTGTTCGTGCCGCTTCCGCACACGCCGTCCTTTACCATCCTTTTGACAGGGCCACGTGGAGGTGTTCCTCTGCGACACCGCCGACCTCCCCGAAGGTGAAGACAGCATCGTCACGCAGTCCTGCTTCAACGACTACCCCCTCGACCGCGCGGTAGACGACGAGTTCAACGGCCCCATAGACCCCAACTACACGGGACGGTTCATCCTGGACCCCCCCTGCCGCGCCAGCGAGACCGACCAGGACCTGTTGGAGGGCGCCTACCCGGGCGACGTGGCCACCGCTCGGTACCAGCTGCCGGAGGGCGTGGTCTGCGACCACTGCGTTGTGCAGATGGTTTACTGTGAGTGATAGTGCATGCATGTAATTACAGTACATTCTTGTACACGTGTTGCTTGGTGTAGACCCGAGCCAGTCGATCTGAGACGTCTTAAAAGGCACCACCAAAGCAGCACGGCTCGCAGTGTATGTAAGCTTGTCTTCACCCCCCGCTCCCCGCTTTCCATGCAACGCAGACACCGGCAATTCGTGCAAGCACGAAGGTTACGCCGACTTCAACCCCGAGTCGTGGCCCAGCTCGTGCGCGCCTAGCAAGGCCGACTGGATCAACGAGGTCGTCGGGCAGTGCGGCGACGGCGACGCCTACCCCGAGGAGTTCTGGAACTGCGCCGACATCTCCATCACCTCCGGTAAGCTGCCGTTTACCATGTAGCCACCCACAAGTGCTGGTTGTTGGAGGAAAATAAGAAGTATGTTTTTACACCAGAACAGCCAAACTCTAATGTTGGTCCCCCCCCCCCCCCCCCCCCCCCCCCCCGGGGGGGGGGGGGGGGGTTCCCGCCGCCGCTCCGCCGCGCCTGTTGTTCCGAAAATGATCAGACGGAGGGCCTGGCACCGCCCCTCGCACCGCTCCCTCCCCCACTCCCGAGCAGGAGGAGTACGACGACGGGTCCACGCCCGCCCCCTCGATGAAGTACGAAGAGGACTACGATGAGCCCACGCCGTCGCCCACGATGAAGTACGAGGAGGAATACGACGAGCCAACGACCCCGGCACCGGCACCGGTCGAAGGCGGCGACGACGACTCGTCCTCCATGGACGGCGGTGACTACGACGAGCCCACTCCGGCGCCCACCGCCGAGCTCGAGCCGGCCACGCCCATGGACTCTCCCACCGAGCCGATCGTGGCGACCTTCGCACCGTCCGTACCCCCGCCCGTCTCGGACCACTCCGACTGCGAAGACCCCGTCGGTGCGTTCAACCAGTGCGGGGGGGAGGGCTACGACGGGTCCACCTGCTGCAGGGCCGGCTACGAGTGCGAAGAGATGGCGGAGTGCTACTCCGAGGTGAGACGACAATCATTTTAGATATCTCGACTGCTGCTGTCGTTCTTTAGTAGTGTTGCGCTGCTGCCTTGTTTTTCCTTGTGCCTCCTCCGCCAAACAAACCACCCCGCTCCTCTTTTCTTGACTCCCGACTCTTTCTTTCTTGTGTTCTGCCCCCCCTGCTTGCTTTCTTTCCAGTGCCGGCCCAGGGAAGACCGGTGCTCCGAGGGCTGGGGGCAGTGCGGAGGGCTCCACTGGGAGGGCCCCGAGTGCTGCTGGCCCGGCGCCGAGTGCATTGAGCGCAACGAGTGGTACCACCAGTGCGTCCCCGAGGGAGCCGTCAACTGAGCCGTCCACTGACGATGAGCTATCAATATCAACCGACGATGGGCGATCAACTGACGACAAGTCACCTGGTGGTGATTTTTTAATGGTTTTCGTGGGAGCTGCTGGTTTGTTTTTTTGTTGTTGTCAGGGTGTGCGTAGATCGATCGTGTCGGTGGCGTGTTTGTTATGTGTTTGTTATTAATGTCCTACAATACGTCGGGTAGTTCACGTACGTGGAAGAGGCGGGGAGGGGTAACTTACTACGCGGTATAGTCGCTGTTCTGTTCTATTTTTGGTCTGTGGTGTTGAGTGCTTCGGCAGCAAGATACATGCTGCCTTTCTTGGGTTTCACCTTCCCTAAATCACAGGTAGGAGTTAAGTAAATACCATAGTTCATGACGTTTGATGTACGTACGGGGGCGCCTTGTTGAAAGATGGGTAGGATACGTTGTTGTTGATATGACCCTGACCATGTTGTTCTTCGAAACCAGGATCAATTGGGTTCTCTTGTGTATTGTTGCATTGATTGCTCATGGTTTCTATAGTACCCGCATGGTGGGTGCCTCTTCGCTTTGAAGGACTATCAATTGGGTTCTCTTGTGTATTGTTGCATTGATTGCTCATGGTTTCTATAGTACCCGCATGGTGGGTGCCTCTTCGCTTTGAAGGACTTTGAAGACTAAACACGATGTACAATTGTAAGTTGCGTTTGCATTGTTGGAACAGATCCATGTGGGAGCGTTTGTGCATTCATTCGCTCTCAGTTTTTCAGTGTATTTTCACGGCCTACAAGGCTCGTTCTTTACACGAATACGAACGCTACTGTGCTGTCTTGCATCAATGGTTGAGGAGGATGCGGTCAAGAGGGTCAAGATATATGTGTGTGTGTTGTGTTCACAGCTAGACTGCCGGTTAGCGCCGAGTGTTGGATTGTTGCGCATGTGTGTGTGTGGGAACAAGAGAGAGATGGTGGTTGCGGGTGGGTGCACAGACAGACAGAGAGGCGTGTGTGGTGGAAAAAAGGTAGTCGAAGGCACGGACTGCTCTTGGATAGCCAGGTGGTGGTGTTGTTGGTGGGGTGGTGGTGCTCTTTCGGTTGTTTTTGAAAATTGAAAAACTTTCCGAGTCCCCCACGGGTCGAATCACGGGCCTGCTCATAGATAGGGTGCTGGCTGTTTTACGGTACTGATCTCACGTTTGTTCCTCCACATTGTTCGTAGTCATCGTGAAGTGGAAGTTCAGTTGTTCTTGGTAGATGGTGGTCCAACAAAAAAATGTTTTCCAAGTATTTACTTGTAGGTCACCGGTATTATACATTGTCATTGTTGGATTTTTGGACGACACCACGACGCCAGACGTAAGAGGTCCCACAAGAAGTGGTTCGTTGGTGGTGGAGGCGTCATTTGAGCAAGTTAGTTATCTAGGTGTGTGTTGTGTCTCGTGCTTGAAGAGCGAAAGAGAGGGTTTTACGAAGAGAGATCGGGTCGGTAGATAGGGTCGGTTATGTAATCGATTGTGCTTCGGTTGGTCGGTATTGGGGGATATGGAAACAACGATATGGTATCGAAATAGTCAAATCAAGGGCAGCAACGTGCAGCATGTTGTGGCTCTCCGCAAGGTTTTCTTCCGAGCTGAGGTCTTCACCACGAACACGCACGGCATAAAAACACACAACACGCACTGTGTGTGCATTGCTGCAAACGGCAAAAGAAAGGCGGACAGGACGCCTCGGGGCAAGTTGAAGTGCCGAGCATGCCCGTGGACTCCTGTTAGTATACCTTTTTTCATCATATATATTTCGGAATGATCACAGAAAAAAATCGCGTTCAACTTGAGCGCCAGATCAGCGAACTAAACATAACTAGACATAATAATACACTGTACACTACGGACTTACTACGCACTTTTGAGGGGAGGACAGAAACATGGAAGGTAATAAGCTCTGACGCAATCAACGCAATATACGAGAAAAGGCAACACAAACAAACTCACAAGAGGTCCAAATAATAATCACAGCCAGCCATCGACCGTTCAACCCGGCAGGCTAGAAGGCAAAGCCTCCCTCTGACTTGAACAAGTCCTCGAGCGAGCGTCATACGGTTCGCACACGTCCTACAATACGTCTTGGAAGGAACATACGCAGAGTCAAATGTTGGAATGAAAGGAAAATAGCACCTTGCACACACACGTACATCGTCACCGCATGGATGGATGGGTGAACGATAGATACCAGAAGAAACTTCACGGGTGGGGGTTGAGGTGTTTCATGCACCTATCTCTGTATCTCCCGTGCTGCTGTGCTTCCTCTCCACTCTTAACCCCAACCAATGAGCGGCCTCTTCATCCAGGCTGTATACTTCACACGAAGCACACGGGTCACCACACAGACAGGCCATCATCTTTCAGCCAACATCAACGACAGTTTCCAAAAGCTCCCCCTTGTATGCTTTTCCTCTCTGCATCCCAGCAAGAGCGGGTGCGACAGAAGCGCTACACGACATATCTATCTCTACTTCCTCCATCGGAAGCAATGATCACTATCATCGCCGCCGCCTTGGGCATGCGGACGCCCGTGTGGTCCCTTCCTTACCTATCTATCTACGCGTGTCTTCCCGGTTGAGAGCTGAGAGCTAGCTACCATCCTACAACCGCCCACTATCATCTTGCCGACAAACGTCGTGCACTGATTGGTTCATCCTTGCACTGTCCATCCCTCCATCCGATGCTGAGACAGACTTACCTATCCGGGGCATCTCCCGCAACAATGCTTGGAGAGTAGGGATGGATTCTCCACTTTTTATTCAGCGGTGGCAAGACGAAAACAAGTAACGAAAACAAAAAAAAACACACACACACAGAGGATTTCCATCGTGACGCGCACACTTTTGTTCCTAGACTGTCAAAATTGTCGGCTTGGACAAAATCCAATCTATCATACCACTCACATGCAAGGAATAAATACATACCTTTTTCGTCATGAGGAACAAGCGGCACTCCACTTCCATCTTGTGGTCAAAATGATCCATCCGTGAAGTATTGGGCAAACGCAACCCCCCCCCCCCCCCCCCNGCGCTTGGGAGGCTTGTTTTTTGTGCGATCAGCAGAGCACATGCCATCATCGAATCCGGTCGAGCAGCGTGCACAGGAGCAAACAAACGAGGCTGGGAGAATCCATCATGGAGATCTGTACGGCGAACAGAACGACGACACCGGGGTTCATCAGGAAAAGGGGAAGACAAGGAAAGAAAGGAAATTCTTAATTTTGGCCGTCAAAGGACGGATAATCACTTACACCGCTTGTCACCTTTACGCTTACGTACTGCGGCGTGGGCTCGAGGGAATATTTGCATAGCAATGAGATACGGATAAACCTGCAAAGAGGATCGATCCCGAAAATGCAAGACGGGAGACGCTGAAACCTGGTGATAATCCCCACCTCAAGTATTCACAGCTAGGGGGTGTGCGCTCCGAGGGGGTTCATTGCTGCATGTTTGCCGTTTGCTTCCTCGATTACTTCTGCTGGAGCTTCGCTTTTCCTCCGAGCGAAGACGAAAAACAACCGATCGGGGATTCTACCCGCTACATGAAGACAATAATCACAAGGCACAGGAGACGCAAGCAGCGGTTATGATATCGCCACTGCTGTAATTTGACCTACTTCTTTGCTTTTCTACCGAACGCGTCAAGAAGAAAACAACCCAGGGTGGGTGGGTTGAGTGAGCCATCGCTCTAGAGGCGTTTTTGGGAGTCGGGCGGCGACACCGACCACGCGAAAGGTCCTCGCAGAGAGATGCAGTAGGTGCAGTAGCGGTCCACACCAAAACAACCGTTGTCTCAATGTCGGGGGGGGTGTACTCATAGTCGTGCATGCCGTAGTCGTTAGACCATTGACCTCGCATCCCTACAAAGCCGG